CCAACCATTACATTGTTTTTCTCATTTTTAGCAATGTTGTTAGTTTATCTTTTAGTTTAAGCATTTTGTCAAACCCTTCATATGCATGCCAAATTACTATATATTTATGTTAAAAATCACTATGTATGAGAAATTCAACAATTATCGACAATATCAAAATGGTATAATTTTAAGTCAAAAAAATAAATTCTCTTTAGGGGTTATAAGATGATCGTTTCTTTTTTCAAAACTATACTCACCGTTATGATTACCACCAAGAGTGTATTCAGACACTCGCTAGATCTAGTTAGAGTTCCTCGGCAAATATTCTTTATTAGGGATAATGGAAAGACATCTAAGCCAAGGAAAACCATCTGTAAAAGCATTATCAGTTAGCGTTTTATACCTCTCAAGGAAGAAAGAAAAAAACTAGAACTTGAATCTTTGGGAGGGGAGATGCAAGTCGTAATAGATGGAAGAAAAGTTCCAAGAAATGGACTTGCTACTTAACCCTCACACCTAAGAAAAAGTAAGCATCACCTCTAGATTATTCGAGCAGTATCTTTACCTCAATACTAACAGCATTCATTAAGCCACAAATATTTCTTCACATCAAGATTACAAGAGATTGCGGCAATAGTCCATGGAGCTCTAATTATTTATTTTCTAATCATGTATATTGATATCTTCAAGAAAAATTAAGGCAACACATGATTACACCAACCTCGCACACAAACATCTATTTATTTAATAACATTCGGTTCCATACCACTTACACTGAGTTGTAGCAAAGAAAAGAAGAGAAAAGAAAAGAAAGTAAGAAGAGAAAAGAAAGGAAAAAAAATTTGTCTTTTGTGTTCCCGAGTTTACGAGAAATGGAAGGAAAGTTAAACATTTTGTTCTTTCTCTTCAAATCCTTCCAAATTGGAAGGAAAGTTAGGAGGGAAAGTAATCATTCCATTTCCTTTCACTTCCTTCCTTTAATGGAACTCGGGAACACCAATTTCTTTTATATTCCTCTCACTTCCACCCATTTCCTTTTTTTCTATCCTTAAATTGAAATCGGGAACAGGGTGTTAGTGTATAGACATGTAGGGGAGCGTGGAACACTTTTTGTTTTTCTAGATACCTAAAATATAGAATTTTACATATATTTAAAGGTCACTGTTCTTATGTTTTACCCTATAATGAAATAATATTTTTAATGTAAGTGAAAAATACTTGATATCGGGTTTTAGAAGGTTATGCTAATCTCAATAATGTTCAGATAGTTACGAGTAATCATTTTAATTATAGTTGCATGTTATAACTATAAAGCTCCAATGCAAAACAAACTAAAAATGATTTAGAAACCAATATTCAACATGTTGGTTACATAACTTGTAATATAGGAATTTCTAGTTTGGAAATGAAATGTTTCAGTTTATGTTGAAATTGTTGGTGATTTTAGTGTCACCATGTCATTTTAAGTAACTGGAACTAACGTGTGAGCTAAGGGGCTTCATGATTTGTACTCTAATATATGTATGGGGTTGTGCGGAGTGCACGCATGTATAAGATCGAATTAGAAGTCGGTTCGACGACTAGTCGGGGGTCCGGGGGCAGCGCCCCCGGGTCCGGGGTTTCCAAAGGGGCAGCACCCCTTTGGCGGGGTCTAGGGGCAGCGCCCCTAGCGGGGTCCAAGGGGCAGAGCCCCTGGCTGGGGTCCCGCTGGGTTTGGGGCAGCGCCCCAAAACCTTACCGAATTTTACATATGGGAACATAATGGAAAATTCAATTTCTTGAGGGTGATTATGGTAAAACTAACGAAACTCGTTAGTTTTTGGTAACCCTAAATCCTCATTAAATCCGGATTAACATTACTTGCTTCCAAAGCAACTAATGACGGCCCAACCCTAATGAAACCCTAATCGTGTTTAGTATATAAACAACTCTTCATCTACCGAAGAGGGTTACGATCTTAAGCTCTCGTATTTCATCACACTTTTACAGAATCCTCTAGCATATTGGCTTACGATTTCTGTGCCTAGAATCATAAGTGTCAACTTGGATTATCCTAGGCTGAATTTCTTGTAACCCAGGCATAGGGTAGAAATATCAGTTCGGAAAGTGATATCACGATCCAAGTCGGTATCCAGATCTCCACTACAAACCCTATTTTCCTAATAGAAATAAGGTTAATTTTTAACAAAAAGAGACTTTTATTATAAAAAGGCTAGAAAGGTGCAAGGGGTTACAAAACATTTAAGCAAACAGCTGAAATACAACACAAGATCTTCTTTATATATAAATAAAGATAAAGATACGAATAAAAGAGTTTTAGTATCTATAAATCCATTTGAACGTTAGGTGAGTTATATTGATCCTGGTGAGTTATATTGATCCTTAACAATGCTATAAACAGAAGACTTTTATTTTTGAAAACTTTTATTATATTGTCTAGGGAGGAGCAAGAAAACAATCAAAAACTATTACGAAATATTTATAGTGAAAAATGGATTCTTCAGCCACGAAACTCAATTGAATTTCAATTTAGAATTTATATGAAATTATGAATTGACTAAAAAACAATTGATCTACAATGCTATCAAACAAAAGTATAATTAAAATGCATCATTTGGCCAATGCTCTTGATTTCATTTTATGATAGGGCGGTCCCGGGTTCAATCCCCGGGAGAGAGGAGAAAAAATAATTATTTGTCGTTAAAAAAAAAGGGAAGAAAATAGGCGGCCACCTTGGTGCGTAAATATGCAGAAAGACAAAGCGGAAATTGCCTCGAAGATCTATATCCGCACTAAAATCATAGCAGATTTTAATGGCAAATTTAGGTTATCATGTGATTATTATTACACCAAAAGAGTATTACTATATATTTGTAAATCATGTAAACGCTACTGGGTGAAAAATCTACTCGTTAGTTATATAATCTGGGCAGCGTTGAAAGTATTGAGTGGATCCCTGAAATTCCCATCAAGGTAGCATGCTTTGTTTGGAGGGAAAATATGAAAAAAATTCCAACTGCAACCGGTTTAGTAAAAAGAGGGGTGCAGATAGACGAGATCCATTGTGGGCTTTGCCTAGATACGGATGAAACAGCACAACACGTTTTTATCACTTGCTCTTATGCAAGGGTAGTTTGGGAATGGATCTCAAAATGGTGTCATGTTAAATTCCCTCCTGGGGATTCTGTTGGAGATATCATTAATCTTGCAAGATCATGGGATCAATGTGCAAGGAAACGGAGGATAATGACCTGTATATGTTATATATGGTACGTTCTGGTGGCTATGGAAAGCAAGATGTGAAAGAGTTAAAAAAAAAGCAGGATCTCGCCTACTATGGTGGTGGATAATATATAGTCCATGGTGTTTATGTGGCTTAAACACAGGAGTTTGAATTACCCTATTAAATGGACGGATTGGAGCATATATCCCTTCTGGTGAGGGGAAGAAAACCGGTTGAATATTAGAACTGGAGGCTAAATATTTCAGTCTAGCGTTTGGTTTTCTCCAACTCTTTTTGATACATTTATATTTTCTACTATTTTTGACTTGTAAGTTTTGTAATGTCTCCTTTCCTCCTCTAGCACCTTGCTAGTGGAGTTTATTTTTATTAATATATATTTGCCGGTTCCAAAAAAAAAATTATATTTTAAATGATTATGTCCTCAATCAATATAATTCGGAACCAAAGAATATATAAAGTCAAAAAAAAATCGATTTTTTATTTTTTTTTCAGCAAATTTTAGTAATATATATATATATATATATATATATATATATATATATATATATATATATATATATATATATATATATATATGGAACATCATGTGATATATTAATAAGAAAGAAACAACTCAAGCGAGAAGCTTGAGAAAAATACATGAAACAATTCAAAATCGGGAAAGAGCTTCAAGCGGTCCATTTAATGGAGATACATTTAGATCTACATTTAATCCAATTAAAGGAGTTAATAATAATATCATCCGCAGTTAACATAATTGGCCGTCTTTCGTTCCTAAAGAAAATAGAATTGCATGCCTTTCAGAATTCAGATCATCCAAATGGTAGTATAGACAATTGACAACCTCAACTTTTGCAGTCTTTTAGTTCCAGTATTGGTGTTGAGTAAAGCTAGTAACTCATCACAAGAAGAGGGTTGCACCTATAAACAAGAAGACCAATCCACCATCCATCTACATATGACCGAAGCAAAAGAAGAAAAGGAAAATAAGACATGATTCGTGCATTCATCATAAACATGACATTAGGGACATACAGAGGAGGAAATCTGAACATCACACTTGATTAGATTCATAGAAATGAGAATTTTGTTTCTAAACAATCGTCAAACAAAACAATTGACCTTTAAGGGCACCCATTTCACCCATTTAAACGGATTCAAGCAATCTTCACCAACGTTTTGAGACATAAGAGATTTAACAGAAAAACCATTTCTTCCATCACCCTTCCACAACCACTCGTCACGCCCAAAAATGTTTTATTATTCAATTAAACAAGTCGATTTGTGAAAGTTCATAACAAAAATTGATAATAATATTGCAATTTTACAAGTAATAATAATACCGTATCATCCATTTGTCCCACACTCAGATTTACGATGCCATGTAAATAGGAAACATCAAGTGCTTCCTTCAAGTAGAAATTAACTAATTAAGTGTTCAATCATGCTAATAATTAAATGTGCGAAATCAATCTCAAAATTTATGTATACACGAAGGACGAAGCTCCAAACATATTAGAATTATAGATAATTTGTTATTATAACATTGTAAAGATAATTAATATAGGGCTAATATTCAATGGTGAAAAAAAGTCGAGTTGAAAATGCCTTATTCATCAACTTTAATTAATTCATATCTTTCAATTCATCATCTTACTTAAACTGACTCCACAATCTACACATCCTTTCTTATGATATTTCTAAATTGAGATAATCATTGACATACAAAAGCAAACAGTCAACTTAATTTGTATAGAAGTTTCTAGAAACTAATTTATTGTTGATTTGAAGAAACTGAGTCATATCTTTTCTTGAGACTCTCAATATCATGGTCATTTAACGAACATCCTGGAAAGATATCCTGCAAAAATAGTTCCATAAGCACAAAAAAAGAGTAATTATAAAATTATACACATAAGAGAAAAATTATTTACATTAAGACCCTCCTTTTTCTTGTCCCTTCTATTCCTGCACCTAAGATTCCTTTTGCCCGTAATGGCATATATATCTTCTTCAATCTCACTTTTTGAGATCGAAATTGAGAATTTTGGCGGATTTGGCTCACCAAGATTTTTATGTTTCTTCACCTTGAAGTCCTCATCCTTTGCAGGAATCATAGAAGTGGACTTTGTTATGGCAACCGGTGTTGATGACTCGGTTTGATTGTTCTGTTCATTAATTTGATCATGACTTATCATTTCAGAAATAGTCAAATCATCAGAACCATCAGGTTTCTGAGATTTTTTATCAGGTAGAGACATTGTTTCTGTATGTTTGGTAACTCAAGAATGATTGAAATAAATAGATGCTTTCAATATAATTTTAAAGACACAAGCAATTGTAGCAATAAGATTACGAAATGGTTATAAGATTACGAGAAAATGCAATAAATGTTGGTTTTGTTGTCATTAAATATTAGACAGTTGTAACGCCTTAATTAAAAACAAATCCTAACTAAAATATCTTCTTAGAGGTCATGAGTTCAAGTCTCATTAGAAGACATTGATGATTTTAGAAGTAAGTTAGTTTGTCGGTTCAAAAAAAAAATTTATTTCGCTACTTGTGATCTTTTAATGCATTATGTCACATGACTTTTTTTATTATTTTCATTTTATTTTTTCAATATGTCATTTTATGGTTTTTTCATGTTATTAAATTCTACATAATATTTCAATGTAATAATAAATACATATCAATTTTATTAATCGACTTTCATTTTAATTTCAAAATTACAAAGGTGTTGTTTGTTTTTTTTTCTGCAGATCTTCTTAACCTTTTCTGTCTGTGTCACACAGACATTGGCCTTCACAAACAGTTTGTATTTTTGAAGACTACAGACCTAAAAATGTATGTGTGTCATCTTCTTGGCGCAGATGTGGACGAAAGTCTTCTAACATCTTCAGACATCTTATAGTCTAAAAAAACACATATATCTTTAATTTTTTTAGTTTTTTTTTAATTTATATATATTTCGACTTTATTAATGATAAACAATTTGAAAAAAAAAGTTATAATACTTTAAAAAAATTGTTCGACGACACAAACATGATATTTTTGACAAATTTATAAATAAATATTTATTACAATAATGGTCGTTGAAATTGTTTATATAAATATGAAAAAAAAATCATAATATATTCTTATATTTTTCGTGCAAATTTTTTGTCACACCCCAAAACCAAAATGGCGGAAACGTTCTGGGGTGGAGGACGTCATGTATAGCATCACAACCAATGTATAATAGCAATTATAGCAACGCAACCATTACAATGAATACTTAAATAAAAATGTTTACATCAATTTGGAAATTTTCTGAAACTTGTTTGAATTACATCGAATAGCTTTGTAAAGTATAATCATAAAACTCTTATTGCTCCAGTTCCTCAAAAATCCAGCAAGTACCTGTCTACTGATTTCCTGAGAATACAAGCAGTTTGAAAGAATATCAGCATAAAGTTGGTGAGTTCATAAGCATTTAGTTTTTGTGGAAAATGTTCTTTGATCCTTTTTGAAAAGTGTTCCTCAAGAAAATCCTATATTTTCTTATGAAAAGTAGTTTTTGGAAGAGTATCTGTTAATAGAAAGTAAATCATCAGTTTTAGAAATGTCAGTGTTATCCTGGGAAAATCCTATATTTTCCCTAAAAACAAGTTATCCGTTCTAGAGGTAGAGACGTCAGTTTAGAAATCCCTGATTACTATCCGTATGTATAAAAGTGGTTTTACTACTCAAAATAAAACAATGAAGAGTAGAGTCCGTAAACCGGAGTTAGTTTATACTTATTTGCGAGTCGTATAACCATACTTAATATGACCGAGAGACCTTTATAACGTTCTTCAGGCGTTAAGCTAAATGACATTTGTTCACCCCAGGTGTGACCGCCTAACTGTAGCTAGCAGTTCAGGTGTGAGATTGTCAGTCCCGAATAGATCTATTCACAAATCTCACACTCCCCCTCTAGGAGACTCTGGTTATACTAAAAGGATTTATCACTGTACACCTAAGAGTACAGTATTGAAGTAGAGCCTCACAATTCTGTATAATCTAGTTTACTAGCGGGAAAGAGTATAAAACAGTAATTATCCTTGAATAAATGTACTTTATACTTCTGAGAAAAACATATATAACATAAACTAAATTTGCCGTAGTTTATATATATTCATCCATGAAATCTGATTTAGTAGAGACTGTCTAGAGGGTTATCCCAAACTATACCCATTATAGTTTATTAGAGTTGATATGGAAATGCCTTGTAAAACCTTTCTGAAAGCCGTGAAGTTAAATTTCCAAAATAACAGTTTCCCTTATGCTCAACGTATTACAAAAGGGATTAAGTATACGAGTATGTTATTAAACGTGGAAATCATTGGACTGTATTAATAAGTTTAAAACTTAATAAAATACTTTGAGTTTGGCTTGTATTCCCCCCCTGAAAACATTAAAAACACGGAAATTGTAGGGGTATGAACTCACCTCGGGTAAGTGGTTTGATTGAAGGATTGATACGGAAAGCTGGATGTTCAAGTGAAGCCTTGAACACGATTCGATCCTAATTAACACGCAATGACACATAAAAGAGTCAAACGAAGGTATTTCACCACTATAAGTGATGGAAAACCACTCTAGAGGCTTGGATCTCCTTGCACTAAGTGTTAGGACCTTGTAGGGTTGCATGAGGGGAGTGTATGGCCACCTTAAAGGTGTGTACGGCCATGAGTGTGCGGCCCAATGGGTGTGCGGTCGTACACTCATGATGAGAGGTGTTCTTGTGGTGTTTTCAAGGCCTACACTTGCATCCATGAAGTGTTCTTGGTCCATACTTAGTTGTAGTACAAGTTTAGGGTCTTAGAAGTGAGTTTATGGTCCTAGAATGAGTGTGTGGTCGCACACTTGGGTGTGTGGTCGCACACTTGGGTGTGCTGCTGCATACTTGGAGTGTGCTGCTGCATAAGTGTGTGTGCGGCCGTACACAGGTGTGTGCGGTCGTACACCCCGCACAAAATGTCCAAAAATGCCATTTCCAAGGTACAACAAGGCTAGGGACATGTCTATCTCGAATATGGAAGTCAAACTCTCACTTTGGAGGGTGTTTTAAGAGTGTGCGACCACCTAAAAGGGGGTGTGCGGCCGCACTCTCTTCCATACACGAAGAGCATGTCGATTTTGCACACTTAAGGTCTAGATAGAGTGGTCTTTCATGGATTGCAAGTTAGAGAATGAAGTACTCACGTTCTTGAAGCTTTGGAAGGTTCAAAGTTGGAGAAACTTGAGAGAATAGAGTAGTGTGCTGCCAAGGAGTGAAAAGAATGAAGGGGAAAGGAGTCTACCCTTTATATAGGGGTGAGAGTGCTGCTAACAAGTGAGTGTGTGGCCAAGGAGTGAGTGTGTGGCCAAGGAGTGGGTGTGCGGCCGCACACCCATGTGTACGGCCGTACACTCCTCCAAGAGGTGTGTATGGCCCGATTTTCTCACTATGCTACACTCTGACTCATTCCTAAACTCAACCTTGGTCACATACAAGTTTAGAACACTTAAATGAACCCTTAAATAGCACCAGAAATCAACAAAACAAGTTGATGATTGATTGAATTGACTAAGTGTACAAGATAGAAGTTCCGAGTTGTTACAATTTTATAAAAACATTATTTAATACAATATCGTCAATTTCTTGGGAAAATATTTATGGTACGTTTTTAATTGATTTAATTGAAAAAATTAAAGTTTATTTTCATTCATTTATGTGTCAAACTCTTTGTTTCTCAATTACAATGTTTAGATATAACTTTGCGACCAAATTTTTAGGTTTTATCAAATATATACATTAATTTGTATCATTTTATTTTCACTTTTTATACAATAATACATAAAAGTTGATCTAGATTTGTTAATTATTTATACAAAGTCATAAAAAATATCTAAAAAATCACTTTGAAGTTTACAAAAATCAGTTTATTTATATTTTAGTTTATTTTAGTAACCTGCAGATGTTAAAAAAACAAACAGTCTTTTTTTCAGACTGCAAACGTTTGGTCCATCTCTTCTACTGAAGAGATCTATAGATGTGGTCCGCAGACTGCAGACATTTTGTCCCAAAAAAAAAAAAACAAACATCACCTAAATTAAAGACTCATTTGTTTCATTTGTTTATTTATCTAAATTGTTTGTTTAAATTAAAAAAACACTTTAATTTTAATAATTCAATATTTTTTTTACTTTTCTTATAAATTCAAAGTTTTGAAATGTTTAGAAATTCATATTTAATTTTTTTTAAATATAAACTCATGTAATAAATGGGTCTCACACCTAATACTCTAATAAATAAAAATCATTTATGTCACTTGTCATTCTCTCATGCATTATGTCACATGTTATTTTTTGGTAATTAGATTAAATTATATCTATATGTCATTTTGTGGTTTTTTCCATTTTATTCAACTCCATATAATATTTAAATATAATAAATATAATAATAAATACATATCAAATTCATTAATGCAACTTTCCTTATAATTTCTAAATTTCTAAATTAAATCCAATTATTTTAATTATTTATTTATTTAAATTCTTTGTTTAAATATAAAAGAGAAAAAGCACACTTCAATTTTCTTTCCTTATAAATTCAAAGTTTCTAAAGTTTTAGATCTTCATAATTATTTTTATTTTTTAGATAAACCCATATAATATATGGGTCTTGCAACTAGTTTCATTTATAAAACAATTTCAAAACTATTAAGTAATTACTAAAAATGATATCATTGTCTTAAGGTATCAATGCATTCAACTAAATATAAAGTAGGCGAATAACCGCGTGTTGCGTAGAATACAACAATATATTTGAAGTCTTTACAAATATATGTTTTTTAAATATATCAATGACGTTGTTGTTAGCTCTTATATGATAAATCTTATAACAAGTTGGTATAAGCATTGTTTGTTTTGAATTATATGATAATGTATACATCTTTTAAAATTCTATAATATCAATTGTCTTAATAGCCTCTACATGCGAGTTACTGATGAATAAAATTAAATATAATATATGGTTTAATGATATTTATAGTTGTTGTTATGATTAATTAATTTTAAAAAGTTTATTTGTTTATGATTTTAATTTTTATCATTGTAATTAATTAAAACATCAAACATTCTTTTTGTTTTTAAAGGTAATAATATAATTTTTGTATATAATGTTACTTTAACTATTCTTATTGTAAGTATTTGAAAATAACTTATATGGAAACTCTTAATTATTTTAATTTGT